AACAAGTGGTTTGAAGCATAGTTATAAGAAAACAGAATCCCAGAGAGGGGAAGTGACCAGCCTGAATCCACAAAGCTGGCTAGAAGAGATAAATAATTCCTATGTCCCCTTTAAAAAAGAAAAGAAAGCAAACCTGCCTTTGAGTTGATTCCAACTCATGACCACTCCATGTATTTCAGAGTAGCACTGTACTTATTTGGGTTTTTAATAGCTACAATCTTATGGAAGTAGGTTGTCAGGCCTTTCTGCTTTGGCACTGCTGGGTGAATTTGAATTACCTCTCTTGTTGTTAGTAGTTGTGTGCAAACCATTTGCATCACCCAGGGACCCCCTTTTGCTCCTTCAATGATAATGTAAAGCCAGGGGATCATGCTGCCTCTTGACAGTCTAAGCAAGTTCAGTGCTGACTCATCTCAAGCCTCTAAATTCTCAGGGAAAAGGTTAGGTGTAGGAGTCAAATTCCACTCACCCATAGCCCCAATGGCCAAGGATCCTTATCACTCACAAGGACACTGTTTTTGTCCAGGGTGAAGTTCTGTAGCTGTGACTACTCTGGGTCAGCCACAGAAAGTCCTTACAGATGGCAATTCTGCCCAGTCTCCAAGTAAAGGATGAGAAGTCACACAGGGAGTCCACTGGTGTGGATGCTGTGAGGAACAGATCTGGAAGGTTTAGAAGGATGAACAATGGTCTCTAGAATTCTAGAACGTGGTTGTTGTTGTTATGTGCCATCGAGTCATAACAACTCACAATGACCCATCTTCCTTCTGAGGAGTGGCTGGTGGGTTTGAACCGCTAGCCTTCTGGTTAGCAGTCACGTGCCTTAGGCACTACACTACCAGAGCTCCCAGAACTTGGTTATAGGTTCCTTACTTGTAGGCTACATTTAGGAGAACTTTTTGCCATGTCGGAAACATTTTTTATGTGCACTATCCAATACAACCATTGAAACTCCCATGTGGTCATTGAGCACTTAAAATGTGGCTGGTGTGGGTGAAGAGATTCCTGGGTGGTGCAAATGGTTTTTGTGCAACCACTAATGCAGAAAAAAAAATGCCTGGCAATCTGCTTCTGTAAAGATTATTGTCAAGAAAATCCTGTGGAGCAGACCTACTCGGTAACACATGGAGTCACCATGAGTTGGAACAGACTCAGAGGAAATAGTTTTTAGTTTTTTAGTGTGGGTAAATAGTCACAGTGAGAAGGTTTTCTAGCATGTCAGAATAAAGGCCTCTGAAAATACACAAAAGCAATTAAAACACAGGCCAAACTTATCAAATTAAACTTTTTTAGAAGTCTAAAAATTGACCAAACATTTGCAGCAAGCAAGGGGAATTTATATAAGAAAAATAGCTGTCAACAATTGGTCTCTATTCACTTGGAGCAAGAAAGGAAGAAGCAAAGTCAGGAACAAAAGGAATAAAGTGATTGTGTGGCTAATTGCCTCCAAGAACTACTGCCTCCTTTGTAATGAGACCAGAAGAACGAGATGGTGCCTGGCTACCATTAATGTTTTAATAAAAAATTCTATAGAAGAATCCTGATCAGAAAGGGTAAAATGCAGAAAACAATTTCAAATTCTCATGGGATCCAGACTTTCTAAACTATTGTCCTGAGATAATCTTTAAACTTTAAACCAAACATATTCCCCCAAACCTTCTTAAAGCCAAACAGTAGTTTAGCTTACCTAGTAAATAATGTGTGCCTTGACCATTGTGCTCTTTTAAGAAAACTGGAGATCCTGCATAGAGTGGGAGGAAGAATGTGGAAAAAAATTAAAAACCATGAAAATGACCAGAATTACTGGTCAGATAGAGTCTAGTAGAACCTCTAAACTCTGGCCCCAGGTTACCCTTCGGGCCTGGAAGTGGACTCACTCTCATAGAGTGGCTCTCAGTCCAACAATAGAAAGAACTATATGCAGAATACCTATCTCAGGGTGATGCACTCTCCTCCTCTAGAGAGTTACTTACATCCATTAGAACAATTGGCCATGGGCACCAGAGGGGCAGGATTTACATGGTGGGAAAGCTGGACAGTACATTGGAGTACATAGTTAAGAAGGGCACAGGGAGGAGGTGGTCACAGGGATGGGCAGGGAGGAGAGTTTGTTATGGTTGGGGATGGTAATCGGGATGTAAAATCAAATGTACAGGAACAGTTGAATGTAAAACAAATTTGGCTTTGTGAATTTACACCCAAAGCACAACAACAACAAAAAAAAACTTTGGGAGGTAAAGCCATAATAATAGCAATAATAATGGTAATGGTCATAAAATTCTAAAATATACATAGTTACAGTCTGCAGGCAGGAAGAGATCAGGGTGGGACACACTGAGAGGCCATAAAAACTGACCAAGGTCTATCTGTTCTTAGGGATTCAGATTACTATTTGAATTATACAGAAGAAGTTTATGTACTTCTTGTTTATGTATAGTTTACAATAGAACTTTTAAAGCACTATTTAAACACATGCAATAATGTAATTTACCTAAACTAAAATGTCAATGCCATGTGAAAACCCCTTCAATTTAACGTTTCTCAGTTCAGAGTTTTTAATCCTAAACCATTGATACCAGGATCTTAGAAACCAGAAAACCAAAAAACCAAACTTACTGCCATGGAGTAGTTCCTGACTCATAGCAACCCCTTCTTGGGTTTCCGAAGTGGTATCTCTACGGAAGTAGACTGCCCAATCTTCCTTCCAACGATTGGCTGGTGGGTTTGACTGCCAGCCTTCTGGTCAGCAGTCAAATGCTTTAGGCACTATGCCACCATAGTTCCTGGATCTTAGAAATGTACGTGGGTATTTCACTAGAATCATATTTATAGAAGTGTCCATTCAAAGCAATACAATTTGAAACAACAACAGCAATTATCATCATCATCAACAGCAACAAAATACCTAAGCTCAATTGTATGCAGTATTCTGGAGTTTTATAAGGGTTTAGATTTAACCTCTCTATGAACTGTTACGTAAAGATCACAAGGGTAATGTGTTAATTTTAAAAAGTAAGTGTAAATGACATACTACTGTTTGTATAAAAAAAGTGGGGGAAATAAAAAAATTCTATTTTTTTTTTTTTACAGCTTATAACACAACTTTTATTAGAAAAGTTATACATAACATAGCATCACCTATTTTCAAGAACAATATTAAACCCGATAAACAATAAAAACCAGGCTAACAATGCATAACAAGAAACTAATGACCTTTCTATAATCAAACATTCAATTATCTACAGTGTCTTTTTACAAAGGGAAAAACCATGGTTTTACAGGCACATGATACTGAAAATAAAGCTGCAAGAGCAATTTTATACAATTACCATTCTCAAGAAACCAAATCATTAAAACAGTAATCACGAGTTCACAAATTTAAAACATTTCACATAATTTTACATTATTGGGTATACACTTAAGTCTGAGTTTCAAGTGATTTTATTCCCACAAAAGTGCCAACACTTACGCTAGAACTTTCAATGTGAGTAATTTTGTCCTAAAAAGTTAATACATGTTTTGATAATCACAATAGTCACATAATTTCTGACGCTATCTGTTCTGTTAATAATAAAATCTTTATTTGGACGTGTGTTTCTTCACTTAAATTACAGGAAACCGGATAAAGGATTTCTGTTTCAAAGCTATAAAATAAAGTTCCAAATACAGGAGTGTGCAGCATTGGCGAAAGAGATCAGTACTAACAAAATCTTTATTTGGACGTGTGTTTCTTCACTTAAATTACAGGAAACCGGATAAAGGATTTCTGTTTCAAAGCTATAAAATAAAGTTCCAAACACAGGAGTGTGCAGCATTGGCGAAAGAGATCAGTACTAACACTTATAATAAATATAAAAGAAGCCATTATTTTTTACAGCATTGTATGCTTAAAGCCTAAGTCAACTAGGTGTACCATTTCCCATCAATCTGCACTTTTAATAGGCACGAAAATTTCTATTCTTATGATCTGAATATTCAGACAAATATATCCAAAATCTTTTAAAAACTTTGATTTACATCTCCTAGAACATTATAAAGGAGCTCTGGTAGCATAGTGGCTAAAGCACTTGACTGCTAACCAGAAGGCTGGCGGTTCAAACCCACCAGCCACTCCTCGGAAGGAAG